CCTCCAAAGGCAACGACTGCAGATTATTCAGTAATTTTTTTCTGTAGATATATAAATACATAGCTAATAAATACCAAACAAATAAGGTGAGCATTATAATAGTAAAACAATAGAAATATTATACCTGGATACAATTTCTCCTTTTTTTTTTTTTTTTTCTGAATTTTGGGTTCATTTTTTTGTTTCTCAACCATGCCATTGATACTTGCATTTTGCAGGGAAACTGCAAAGTCTATGAACAGATTCATTTCTAGCATGGAGAAATTAATTTGTCTTAGAGCCAGTGTTGAAACCGGTGTCTCCTTGATTCCACCGAACTGGTATTTGTTCATCTCCCTTCTTTGAAACATTTCACAGGCTTTATGGTCAATGTACAAAGAAGAGCTGTTCAAGAGTCAGCTGGAGGAAGGCCAGTTCCAAACACCACAGCAACGTGGCTGGTTTCTAACCAACTGTCAGGGTTTTTTTTATGTTTCAAATGAAATTCTCCAATGACAGATACAGATCCAGATACAGATCCTCCTTGGATTATGTCCATTTTAACAAAATTACTTTTCCAGCCAACCTTGGCAACTGCCCAAGGGTACCCTGAATTCTTCTACAGTCCGTCTGTGAAATGTAGTCTTCCAGTATTTGATATTCAGAATCTTGGACACCCCTATTGCCACTGGGATGCTCAACAAGTCATACTAAACATGCTAGAGTTATGTTTTTATGCTGCATTTTACTGTTTATACTGTTACACTGTTTAAGTCCAGACCTATTAAAAATTACTATATTTACAAATGGCATTTGGCTATTTCCACCTATTTTATAACTTTGCTCTTACATGGGGCTCTTAGCCACGTGGTGTAATGGCAAGTTATTCCTGCTCTGAACCAGAAATCATACTAGGTACCTCTTGAGGTCCCTTCCAGTCTGACTATGATTACTTTGCACAGTCTGTGCTCTCTAGGATCACAGCTGCCTGGCCTCACCAGATATGAAGTGCTAGACCACCTCCAAAGGCATGCTAGGAAAAGTTTCCAGTACACAGTAACTTTAGTCAGGAGACCGGGAAGGGAAGGAAAAAACCCTTATAAAATGATTGCATATTTACTATGACACAAAGTCCCTGAGAAGCTAAAGAAACAAACAGCAACATGAAATTCAGTTGGGAGAGGAGGACATCACATCAAACTGTCTCCTGCATGGTGGTAACACAGATTCACAGTACTGCAAAGTGTTTTACTGTGTGACTTAACACCAACTCTTCTCTCTTTAATTATGTCTCAGTTCTAGGCTCACTGAATATTGCATATTTTATATATAGAGTGAAGGCTTTAGTTTTAAGATGATAAAGGCCAAATGGTAAGCAGTTACTAGCATTGTTACATATGAAGTGCTTTATATCTCTGAATGTTACTCAAAGTGGTAAAGGCAAAGTGATACAGAACTGTCTTATAACATGTGAATGCATGTGAAAATTTGTCAGACAGATCCAGTCCTTCTAATGAGAGCTGGGACTGTGAGAATGAAGACCTTGAGCCCACTGTAGGAGAGGATCTTGTTCGAGACCATCTTAAGAACCTGAACATGCACAAGACCATGGGACATGATGAAATCCATCCGCGGGTCCTGAAGGAGCTGGCAAATAAGGTTGCTAAGCCACTGGCCATCATATCTGAAAAATCATGGCCGTCAGATGAAGTTCCCGATGACTGGGAAAAGGGAAATACAACCCCCATTTTCAAGAAGGGGAAAATGGATGACCCAAGGAACTACAGACCAGTCAGTCTCACCTCTGTGCCTGGCAAAATCTTGGAGCAGATTCTCCTGGAAGGCATGCTAAGCGACATGAAAATCAACAAGGGGCTTGGTGACAGCCAGCATGGCTTCACTAAGGGGAAATCCTGCCTGACCAATTTGGTGGTCTTCTATGATGGGGCTACAGAACTGATGGACAGGGCTGACGTCATCTGCCTGGACTTGCGCAAAGCATTCGACGCTGTCCCACACGACATCACAGTATCACACAGTATCACAGTATGCTGGAGATTGGAAGGGACCTCAAAAGATCATCTAGTCCAATCCCCCTGCCAGAGCAGGAACACCTAGATAACGTTACACAGGAATGTGTCCAGGCGGGTTTTGAATGTCTCCAGGGAAGGAGACTCCACAACCTCCCTGGGCAGCCTGTTCCAGTGTTCCGTCACCCTCACTGAGAAGAAGTTCCTTCTCAAGTTTAAGTGGAACCTCTTGTGTTCCAGTTTGCACCCATTACCCCTTGTCCTATCATTGTTTGCCACTGAGTAGAGCCTGGCTCCATCCTCGTGACACTCCCCCTTTATATATTTATAGACACTTACAAGGTCACCCCTCAGTCTCCTCTTCTCTAAACTATAAAGACCCAGCTCCCTCAGTCTTTCCTCATAAGGGAGATGCTCCACTCCCTTAATCATCTTGGTTGCCCTGCGCTGGACTCTCTCCAGCAGCTCCCTGTCCTTCTTGAACTGAGGGGCCCAGAACTGGACACAATATTCCAGATGGGGTCTCACCAGGGCAGAGTAGAGGGGAAGGAGGACCTCTCTCGACCTACTAACCACCGCCCTTCTAATACATCCCAGGATGCCATTGGCCTTCTTAGCCACAAGGGCACAGTGTTGGCTCATGGTCATCCTGTCGTCCACTAGGACCCCCAGGTCCCTCTCCCCTACACTGCTCTCTAGCAGGTCGTTCCCCAACCTATACTGGAACCTGGGGTTGTTCCTGCCCAGATGCAGGACTCTACACTTTCCCTTGTTATATTTCATCCCGTTATTCCCTGCCCAACTCTCCAGCCTGTCCAGGTCTCGCTGGATGGCAGCACAGCCTTCTGGCGTGTCAGCCACTCCTCCCAGCTTAGTGTCATCAGCAAACTTGCTGATAGTACACTCAATTCCCTCATCTAAATCATTGATGAATATATTAAATAATACCGGTCCCAGTACTGACCCTTGAGGCACTCCACTGGTTACAGGCCTCCAACTAGACTCAGCCCCATAGACTACAACTCTCTGGCTTCTCTCCTTCAGCCAGTTCGCAGTCCACCTCACTACCTGGTCATCCAGTCCACACTTCCTCAATTTAGCTGTGAGGATGCTGTGGGAGACTGTGTCAAAGGCTTTGCTGAAGTCAAGGTAGACCACATCCACCGCTCTGCCATCATCCATCCACCGTGTTATTTCCTCATAAAAGGCTAAGAGATTGGTCAAACATGATTTGCCCCTGGTGAAGCCATGTTGACTGCCCCTCATAACCCTCTTATCCTTGATATGCTTTAAGATGGCACCAAGGACAAGGTGTTCCATCACTTTCCCAGGGATGGAGGTGAGGCTGACCGGTCTATAGTTACCCGGGTCCTCCTTCTTGCCCTTTTTGAAGACCGGAGTGACATTTGCCTTCCTCCAGTCCTCAGGCACCTCTCCCGTTTCCCAGGACTTGGTAAAGATGATGGCGAGTGGTCTAGCAATGACTTCCGCCAGTTCCCTCAGCACCCGCGGGTGCATCCCATCTGGACCCATGGATTTATGGACGTCCAGATTGCTCAACTGATCTCTAACCCATTCCTCATCGACTAAGGCAAGTCGCTCCATCGACCTGACTTCATCTAAGGTCTCAGGGGTATAGGGCTCTTCAGGACTGCCTGCAGCAGAGTAGACAGAGACAAAGAAGGCATTCAGTAACTCTGCCATCTCTGCATCTTCTGTCACCAGGGCACCCATCCCGTTCATCAGTGGGCCTACATTGCCTCTGGTGTTAGTTTTGTCTGCCATGTACTTGAAAAAGCTCTTTTTGCTGTCCTTGAACCTTCTTGCCAGGTTTAATTCTAAGGAAGCCTTAGTCCTCCTAGCTGCCTTCCTACATCCCCTAGCAGCAGCCTTATATTCCTCCCAAGTGGCCAAGTGGAGAGACATCAATTTGATAGGTGGACCACTCGGTGGATAAAGAACTGGGTGGATGGCCGCACGCAGAGTTGTGATCAATGGCTCAATGTCCAATTGGAGACCAGTAACAAGTGGCGTCCCTCAGGGATCGGTGTTGGGACTGGTCTTGTTCAGCATCTTTCTCGGTGACATGGACAGTGGGATTGAGCGCACCCTCAGCAAGTTTGCCAATGACACCAAGCTGTGTGGTTCGGTTGGTACACTGGAGGGAAGGAATGCCATCCAGAGGGACCTTGACACGCTTGTGAGGTGGGCTGATGCCAACGTCATGAAGTTTAACCATGCCAAGTGCAAGGTCCTACACCTGGGTCGGAGCAATCCCAGGTGCAGCTACAGGCTGGGAAAAGAAGAGATTCAGAGCAGCCCTGCAGAGAATGACTTGGGGGTGTTGGTTGATGAGAAAAAGAACATGAGCCAGTTTCAGTGTGCGCTCGCAGCCCAGAAAGCCAACCGTATTCTGGGCTGCATCAAAAGGAGCGTGACCAGTAGGTCGAAGGAGGTGATCCTGCCCCTCTACTCTGCTCTTGTGAGACCTCACCTGGAGTATTGTGTGCAGACTTGGTGTCCTCAACATAAAAAGACATGGAACTGTTGGAACAAGTCCAGAGGAGGGCCATGAGGATGATCAGGGGACTGGAGCACCTCCCATATGAAGACAGGCTGAGAAAGTTGGGGCTGTTTAGCCTGGAGAAGAGAAGGCTGCGTGGAGACCTCATAGCAGCCTTCCAGTATCTGAAGGGGGCCTATAGGGATGCTGGAGAGGGACTCTTCACTAGGGACTATAGTGATAGGACAAGGGGTAACGGGTTAAAACTTAAACAGGCAAAGTTTAGATTGGATATAAGGAAGAAGTTCTTTAGTGTAAGGGTGGTGAGGCACTGGAATAGGTTGCCCAAGGAAGTTGTGAATGCTCCATCCCTGGCAGTGTTCAAGGCCCAGTTGGACCGAGCCTTGGGTGGCATGGTTTAGTGTGAGGTGTCCCTGGCCATGGCAGGGTGGTTGGAACTAGATGATCTTAAGGTCCTTTCTCACACTAACTATTCTATGATTCTACTTCAATACGTGTACTGAGCTGGGGAGGGTATGGGAGATACAGAACAGCAATCTTCTCTTACTTGAGCAAATCTTCTTCTCTGGGTTCAGGGTGTAGCCTTGGTAGCAGTCACAAGTATAGGACAGATCGTGTTTCACACAGATCTGCTCACAGTCATGCCTTCCGGGTTCACACATGTCCACAGCTAAGGAAGACAACATGAGGAGAGAAGAATATTAGTCAATACCCAGATCTTCAGACTTTTAAACTGGTGTTAGTAGTCCCCTTTTGCAAACATATCTTCATTTAGAATCAAACCAGGATGTTTTTATTGCATGTCAGCACACTATTAGCCGTAGCAGGGAAAACAAAGAGTGTTTCCATGTTGCAATTAGCATCATAAAATTAATACAATTTTTGGAATATTGGTGTCCTGGGTTCAGCAGTAGCAGTCATTTTTCTCTTTCTTGGTAGTTGGTGCAGTGCAGTGTTTTGACTTTCGGCCTGGGAACAGAACTGATAACGATGTTTTGGTTTGGCCAAGGACTTTGTGAGCCTCATGCTCTGCCAGGGAGGAGGGGAAGCCAGGAGGAAGCAGAGACAGGACACCTAACCCAAACTGACCAAAGAGGTATTCCATACCACAGCACATCATGCCCAGGAGGTAACTGGGAGTTAGCCAGAAGGGCTGGGAGACTGCAGGGTTGGAGGAGGTATCGGTCGATGCTTGGTCGGGCTGAGGGGGGGACATCGGTCGGCTGGTGCTGAGGTGTTGTATTCTCTTCCCTTGTTATTTCCTTTATCATTATTATCATTGGTGGTAGCAGTAGTGATTTGTGTTATACCTTAGTTACTAAACTGTTCTTATCTCAACCCGTGGGAGTTGCATTCTTTTCGATTCTCCTCTCCGTCCCTCCGAGAGCAGGGGGAGGGCAAGAAAGGGGGGGAAGTGAGCGAACGAATTATCTGACTGGGTTTAAACCACGACAGTTCTTTTTGGCGCCCAACGTGGGGCACGAAGGGTTGAGATAACAACAGATTTGTCTGGATTAATAGTCACTCGTCACAATGCTGATTTATTGGCTCTCAGAGTTGTTCTTGTTGATCTCACAGCTTCAGAATGTTGCAACTTACTTAGAGCCGGTATTTGCTGTGTTAGTGTTTATCAAGTGTGGGGCTTGGGCTAAGGTTCTTGTCTCACTGTGCTTTATGGCAATGGCTTGTAATACGGGTGGGCTCCAGCAGCAGGGCGGGACGGACGTGGCCGTGGACTTGTACCTGGCCGTCCGGCTGCTCTTCACCGGCCTGGCCCTCGCCCTACTCTCCATCTTCGTGAGGCTGCGGGGAGCCGAGGGGGGAGCGGCCCCGGGAGCCGGCGGCTGCTGAAGCGGCCCGGAAGAGCGGCCCCGGGGACCAAGCGGCGGCGGGAGCGGGGCCGGAGGCGGCGAGGGGACGGCTGCCGGTGGAGGAGGTCGGGGCGGTCGAGGAGAGGAAGGAGGCGGCTGCCGAGCAGCGGGAGAAGGCGGCGGAGGGCGGCGGAGGAGCCGAGCCCCGCGGAAGAGCCGAGCCCCGCGGAGGAGCCCAGCCCCGCGGCCGAGCCGAGCCCCGCGGAGGAGCCCAGCCCCGCGGCCGAGCCGAGCCCCGCGACGGCCGAGAGCATCCCCCGGAAGCCGCCCGCCGAGCCCCAGGAGGATGCAGGAGACCAGGCAGCATTTCCCAGCAAGGCAGAGGAGGAAGAGCTGGACTCAGGAAAAGAGAAGCTGGCGGTGGGAGAGCCGGCAAGCACAGCAGCTACACCAGCCCCAGTGACAAGTACAGCAGCATCAACTGAGAGTTCTGAAGGTTTTGAATGGCCTTTGGGTATCCTTGGGACCTGCCTGCTGATTGTGATGGGGATCAGCATGTTGGCACACACACAGACTGTGTTCTACCCACAACCATTTTGTCTGATCTCAAAAGTTAAGCAGAGTCAGGTTTGGGTCTTTTCTGGGGTTAGACGAGGATATAGGGGGACCAAGAGGTTTTCCCCAAGGCTGGACAGTCATGAGTGGCAGGGTGTGTGGGACAGTATGGGCAAGTATCTAGTCCACTGGGCCCCTCCAGTGCTTTGGAAGCATCGGAGATGGAAGGCAGCTGTATGGAGTCCCCGGCAACAAGCTGCAGAAACTGCTGAAGGGGACAGTGAATTATTTTGAGCCTGGTGGGCCCATGGCACTTCAGGCCATCAGAGCAGAGATGCAACACAGAGATGGACTCATGATCAAGGGGTGGACTTAGCAATGGACACTATTGCCCAGGTTATTCACGAGTGTGAACACTGCACACAGTCTCTCCTGCTCTGAAAGACTGTTACAAGAGATGGAGACTGACATCATGGACCAGATGGACTCAGCAGCTTTATAGGGACTGGTCCATGCACTAAGATAAGAGTATATTGAAAATGGGGGATCTGAGCATGACGTGAATGGTATGGAATAAGGGGTGGATAATGTCCTGGGTTCAGCAGTAGCAGTCATTTTTCTGTTTCTTGGTAGCTGATGCAGTGCAGTGTTTTGACTTTCAGCCTGGGAACAGAACTGATAGCAATGTTTTGGTTTGGCCAAGGACTTTGTGAGCCTTATGCTCTGCCAGGGAGGAGGGGAAGCCAGGAGGAAGCAGAGACAGGACACCTAACCCAAACTGACCAAAGAGGTATTCCATACCACAGCACATCATGGCCAGGAGGTAACTGGGAGTTAGCCGGAAGGACTGGGGGACGGCAGGGTTGGAGGAGGTATCGGTCGGTGCTTGGTCGGGCTGAGGGGGGGCAAGTTATCGGTCGGCTGGTGCTGAGGTGTTGTATTCTCTTCCCTTGTTATTTCCTTTATCATTATTATCATTGGTGGTAGCAGTAGTGATTTGTGTTATACCTTAGTTACTAAACTGTTCTTATCTCAACCCGTGGGAGTTGCATTCTTTTCGATTCTCCTCTCCGTCCCTCCGAGAGCAGGGGGAGGGCAAGAAAGGGGGGGAAGTGAGCGAACGAATTACCTGACTGGGTTTAAACCACAACAATTGGCAACACTTTTGCAGTTATAACAGATTGCAAAAGGAATTGAATTAGCAGTGATCCAGCGGCAAGGTAATTATCCAAAGGAATTTCAGAGAAGAAATAACTGGATTTTAAGAAATTATTTGGCATGATTTCAGCTCTAATTGGGTTGAGTAAGACACTGTTTTACAGAGTGAAAACCTTATAAACAGAAGAGTACATGGCTCCTGAATAAAAAAGAGACTTGGCCCCCTCTGCCAGTTACAAAGTGGGCACCTTTTGTGTGAGGCTGATTATTTCTGCCAAATCTTACACATCAGCTCTGAAAGGGCAAGTTGACAGGGAGTTCCTATATTTGGATATCTTTGCAGTAAAGAGGTCCAGTAAGGCACAAGGAAAGAAAGAATGATGGAAAGAATGAAGGGAAAGAAAAATTTAAAAAAGAAAAGTGAAGACCCCTCCTGGACCTAGACTATTTTTGTTACATCACAAAGACCTGTATGGATAAGAAACTCTTGAATAATTTATCAGAGAAATAACACAAATTAACATGGTTTTTAAGAGCTACTTGCTTTTAGCTTAACACAGTATTTCCCTAATCAGGTCTCACCTGAGCAAGTCTTCTTGTCTGCATTCAGAGTGTATCCTTCATAGCAGTCACAGCTGTAGGATCCATCATTATTCAAACACACCTGTGCACAATCATGCCTTCCAGGTGCACACATGTCCGTGGCTGCGGTGAACCATGTTTTAGAAAAGAAACCTATTAATCCCTCCCAGACACTCAAGCATTTTAAATGCTTCACTATTCATAAATACAATTTAATTAGGATTCAACCAGCACCCTACTACATTATTATATTATGCTGCAGACAGCTAAATTCAGTTACTAATTATTTAATGCAGAAGGTACATACCAGGACTGCAAGACATTACTACACCACATCTCACACAAGTCTGATTTTCATGAGCAATTATAACAGTGCTGAATATGCCCAGTAAGGATGAAGCTGAAACACCATACTGAGAAAAAAACAAATGCACAAATAAGCAGGACTACAAGAAGATTATGTTCTCTCTTCACAAGAAGAGTGAAAATTTAAGTGGGAAGAATGCTTATGTGCTCTCAAAGGGAGGGATGCACTTACAAAATAGCTACCCTAAGGCTGGTGCTGCTCAAAACTTCTGGATTAAAAGAAACAACAAAGAGAAGGAGAGAAAAAAGTTTTTATAATAAGCTGTTTTTTTCAGAGTGCCAATTCAAGGAGTAGAAAAGGAAGAAGCTGCTGTCAGTGTAAGACCAGGGTTGCTGTATAGCAGAACCCTACACAACTTCGGGAGCAGAAACAGCAAGCTGTAAAAACCGTTTCAACAGGAAAGATGGAGAGGACATGGGAAAATCATCAGGCTCTAAGTTCTCTATGGATCTGTGGCACTTACTCTCCAGTGGAGACACAGTGCTGGAGGGTATCTCCAAGTAAGTTAATTCTCCCTCAGGGACTAAGTTTATGAAGTACTATGGAGACCATAAAATGGTAGGTAAGTGCCACATTGCATTTTTTTTTTTATCAATGCATTTAAAGAAAAATGCAGTGCTGCTGTTATTGGAACCAAGGGGAAAAGCTCCCGGTCAACTCTCATTTTAAGAGTTGATGTCTGTAAGCAATTTTTCAACTAGAAACAATGAGAGTAACTCACAGAAAACATGTCCATGTCTCCATGAATTTCATATATTAAAGCAGCCTTTAACACTTACATGAGCAAGTCTTCCTGTCTGAATTCAGGGTGTAGCCCTCATAGTAGTTACAGACATAGGATCCGTTGTTTCTCACACAGATCTGATCACAATCGTGTTTTCCAGGTGCACATGTGTCCACAGCTGCAAAACACATGTTTAAACAAGTAATTGTTAATAAAAAGCAGTTTAAGATGGAGTGCATATTCACATTATCAGATAGATTTGGAATCAGCTCAGAAACTGCAATAGTAATTGAAAGAATTAGAGTGGTAGGAGAAAATATCTATATAATGTCTACATCTGAAGACTTTGTTTTGTCATCTGGCCCTAATGAATGTATCTGTAGGCATACAGATAACAAAGATGGTCATAGAATCAAACTATTTCTCACCATGACTTGCAGCAAAGTTTTATTTATTAAGATACAGATGTTCACGATTTCAACAGAAATACACAAGTAGCTTCTCAAATCCCATTCTGGTGTTAAAAAGTGGTATTTTTCTAGTTGCACATATTTACTGAAGGAGTAATACCTGAGCAGGTTCTCTTATCTGGATTCAGAGCGTAGCCTTCATAGCAATCACAAAGGTAGGATCCACTGTTGCTCACACAAATCTGCTCACAGTCATGGGCTCCAAGTGCACACACATTCACAGCTACAAAGGGTATTTACAGAAAAAGAATTTCAGTTATCCCAAAGGAAAGAAACAGTAATGAATAATTTATGCTTACAACAGTACATCTTGCATTGTTTGCTGGATTCGTAGCAGTGAAGGTCAGTGCATTGTCACTATCACAGAAAGTTACAGGCATCTTTTGCATCATTCTATAGCCAGAAGAAAGAGGTCATGACTGACACAAAAAGGGCAAGAAGGAAGACCCGGGTAACTACGGACCGGTCAGCCTCACCTCCATCCCTGGGAAAGTGATGGAACACCTTATCCTTGGTGCCATCTTAAGGCATATCAAGGATAAGAGGGTTATGAGGGGCAGTCAACATGGCTTCACCAAGGGGAAGTCATGCTTGACCAATCTCTTAGCCTTTTATGAGGAAATAACACGGTGGATGGATGATGGCAGAGCGGTGGATGTGGTCTACCTTGACTTCAGCAAAGCATTTGACACAGTCTCCCACAGCATCCTCACAGCTAAATTGAGGAAGTGTGGTCTGGATGATCAGGTAGTGAGGTGGACTGTGAACTGGCTGAAGGAGAGAAGCCAGAGAGTTGTAGTCTATGGGGCGGAGTCTAGTTGGAGGCCTGTAACTAGCGGAGTGCCTCAAGGGTCAGTACTGGGACCAGCATTATTTATTATATTCATCAATGATTTAGATGAGGGAATTGAGTGTACTATCAGCAAGTTTGCTGATGACACTAAGCTGGGAGGAGTGGCTGACACGCCAGAAGGCTGTCCTGCCATCCAGCGAGACCTGGACAGGCTGGAGAGTTGGGCAGGGAATAACTTGATGAAACATAACAAGGGAAAGTGTAGAGTCCTGCATCTGGGCAGGAACAACCCCAGGTTCCAGTATAAGTTGGGGAACAACCTGCTAGAGAGCAGTGTAGGGGAGAGGGACCTGGGGGTCCTAGTGGATGACAGGATGACCATGAGCCAACACTGTGCCCTTGTGGCCAAGAAGGCCAATGGCATCCTGGGGTGTATTAGAAGGGGGGTGGTTAGTAGGTCGAGAGAGGTCCTCCTTCCCCTCTACTCTGCCCTGGTGAGACCGCATCTGGAATATTGTGTCCAGTTCTGGGCCCCTCAGTTCAAGAAGGACAGGGAGCTGCTGGAGAGAGTCCAGTGAAGGGCAACGAAGATGATTAAGGGAGTGGAGCATCTCCCTTATGAGGAAAGACTGAGGGAGCTGGGTCTCTATAGTTTAGAGAAGAGGAGACTGAGGGGTGACCTTATTAGTGTATATAAATATATAAAGGGGGAGTGTCACGAGGATGAAGCCAGGCTCTACTCAGTGGCAAACAATGATAGGACAAGGGGTAATGGGTGCAAACTGGAATACAAGAGGTTCCACTTAAACTTGAGAAGAAACTTCTTCTCAGTGAGGGTGACAGAATACTGGAACAGGCTGCCCAGGGAGGTTGTGGAGTCTCCTTCCCTGGAGACATTCAAAACCCGCCTGGATACATTCCTGTGTAACCTTATCTAGGTGTTCCTGCTCCGGCAGGGGGATTGGAGTAGATGATCTTTTGAGGTTCCTTCCAATCTCTAGCATACTGTGATACTGTGATACTGTGACACTGGAACAACTGCATTGAAATAACACAACGCCTGAGGTGGCAGCCAGGATGGATTGGAAAGGGTACAGGAGGAGTGATTTTAAGCGTTTTGTAACATAATACTGGAAATGAGAACTCAGCAATGAAAAAGACCTGGTCTTTTTCATCCAGTCCCTTTCTATTACAGACAAGCACCTGTCCCTTGCTTTCCCTCAGCAAGTTTGTCGATGACACCAAGCTGTGTGGTTCAGTTGATAGGCTGGAGGTAAGGAATGCCATCCAGAGGGACCTTGACACGCTTGTGAGGTGGGCTGATGCCAACGTCATGAAGTTTAACCATGCCAAGTGCAAGGTCCTACACCTGGGTCAGAGTAATCCCAGGCACAGCTACAGGTTGGGCAGAGAAGAGATTCAGAGCAGGCCTGCGGAGAAAGATTTGGGGGTGTTGGTTGATGAGAAAATGAACGTGAGCAGGCAGCGTGCGCTTGCAGCCCAGAAAGCCAACCGTATCCTGGGCTGCATCAAAAGGAGTGCGACCAGCAGGTCGAAGGAGGTGATCCTGCCCCTCTACTCCGCTCTTGTGAGACCTCACCTGGAGTATTGTGTGCAGACTTGGTGTCCTCAACATAAAAAGGACATGGAACTGTTGGAACAAGTCCAGAGGAGGGCCACGAGGATGATCAGGGGCTGGAGCACCTCCCGTATGAAGATAGGCTGAGAAAGTTGGTGCTGTTTAGCCTGGAGAAGAGAAGGCTGTGTGGAGACCTCATAGCAGCCTTCCAGTATCTGAAGGGGGCCTATAGGGATGCTGGAGAGGGACTCTTCACTAGGGACTATAGTGATAGGACAAGGGGTAACGGGTTAAAACTTAAACAGGCAAAGTTTAGATTGGATATAAGAAGGAAATTCTTTCCTGTTAGGGTGGTGAGGCACTGGAATAGGTTGCCCAGGGAGGTTGTGAATGCTCCATCCATGGCAGTGTTCAAGACCAGGTTGGACGAGGCCTTGGGTGATATGGTTTAGTGTGAGGTGTCCCTGGCCATGGTAGGGGGGTTGGAACTTGATGATCTTAAGGTCCTTTCCAACCCTAACTATTCTATGATTCTATGAAATAATCCCAAAACATATGTCACTGTCTGGCAGCTTACTAACTTCTGCTCACTGGCATAAAACCTGATTTATTAATTCCTGCTGTACTGTAAAAAACTCCCATGTAAACTGAAATGCAACAGAAAATAATAAAATAAAATAAAATAATAAAATAAAAAACAGAAATAGCAACAGAAAAAACTTCAAGACCAGGAGGACAAGAAAAATGACTCAGGGGTGCTAGGATAACAACACTGTCTCCTCAGGGATAAAGAAGTGTCTGTGTCATGATAATCCAGATGTATCAGCCAGCAAAAAAACCCACCATTGCAAGATGGGGGTGTGAGGGCTGCAGTTGCCCTGACCCATCAGATTAAAAAGTCAAGACCAAAAGAAAACATAAAGTTTCTACAGTAAGGTAGCTTTACATGCACACGGATCTCCGAATTGAAGGACAGTACAGAAATAATGTTCAAACCTCAGAGAACTGAAAAGCTGAAACTGCAAACTACAAAATGAGACTGAATTCTGGGGGACCAGCTAATTCCTCAGCAAACAGTAAGGTCATCTGCCTCATCAGACTGAGAAAACAGCAAACAGTGATAGGAAAAGCAGTGTGATGGATGACAGCTGATCCATGTGTGCTGTGGTGACAGGACTCACAACACAACTGTGGTAATGCTGGGCCATCTCTGCAATGCACTATATGTGTTGACAGTCTTTTCCTTTACAGCTGGTCTAACCAAATAAGTTATTAATTACTGATTAGTTTTTCTCAAGTATATCTAGCTTTGGATCTGCCACTTCTTTGGTGCCTCTGTTTCTCCCCACAGACTGTAAAAGAAACCTAAATACTCTTACAATGTGGCGATGGACTACTGGTAAAATCAAACTGGAAAGCCATAGTGGTGAAATAAGAAATGAGAAGACAGAGTGCTTGAATCTTCTCATGTATTTCTGAATGCAAGGCAACACTTCCGTTTTTCTATAAAATGGACAATTTTGATGTCCCCTAATACGGCTTATAAGGTCTTGTCCTTCCATTTGTAAAAACAAATCTGAAACCAATCCACATCTTTTCATTCTGCTACACCCTTGGGAATAGGAGAATTCATCTCCATGACTTATGAACAAAATCTGTGGGTGATATTTTCAAACATAACTGAGAAGCTCAGACTCAAATGGTCAGATTTTTGTGGTAGGAAAGTCTAGCCTCCACTGACTTGGACAGATTCAAGACTAAGATTTTCCACTTCCAGGATGGTCTCATGTTGAATGATGCTCTCAATGCATCAAGAACTCGATGTTAGCCAACCATTTTGCCCCTGAACATTAGTTTCACTGTTTTTGGTTCACCCTATAAACAAATTTATTTGCCTTGGCCAAAGCAAAGAAAATCCTAATTGTCACTGGTGGGCTAGATTTCTGACCAAAAGCAGCCTGGAGCTGGAATAGACCCAGTTTACCCACAAAGTCTTACAAGACCCTTTTAGATTCATTTGGTTTGTAGGAACCTTTTAAAAAATGATTCCTTTTACCCTGTTCATGTTCATGAATCCCACAGATTCTGGCTAACTGCATTCAGTTACACTGGAAGTGTATATGTGTGAGCTCTCCTTGGTTTATCCTCCAGCCTAGTAAGACCATAATTTCCAGTGGGTTTACTCTTAAGAACAAGAGATTTTTCTATGGTGCTATGAAAGGACTTGCTTTGGCAAGAACATAAGTGGAGAATTAGTGCTATGTTCACAGCACACATACCTGTCCAGCTAGATGGGCACTTGTACCCTTCCTGCTACCAGAGTGAGGGTCTGGTCACATCAGCAACCCAACATGATGTCAAGCCAAACCTCAAGGCTTTTCCTATGTTAATTATTGGGCAAAGTGTCCTGCCTGCAGATAGTTCTATACATTTATTTCATACCTACAAAAAGACATCTATTCACTCTGAATGTATTCAAGAGGTATGGGTGGTAATTTTTAGTAAGGTTCTGAAATAACAAAGTAAGACATTGCCAACCAAGTTCCTGAGGCAATGGCTGTTATTTTAATGCTCTTATAATGTTCTTTGCACCCAATTTTAGCCATTACTTGATGGAGACACATTTACAAGAAATTTCCTTAGAAATCTATTAGAAAATTCTACTTCATATGACTTTTTAACTGTTAAAATGTTGTAATTTGACTTTTGCAAGTAGGGCTGTGTCACAGCTATCTATAGGAAGTTCTAAATACTCCAGATACATGACCTGTTTCTTCTGTAAATGAGAATAACAACCCACACTGGCCTAAGATTGTAAGTGGAGTCCTAGCATGAACCACATAGACATCTATCATTTTTCCAAGAACAGCCCTGAAAAAGCTAAGCTAATTCAGCCTGTCCCACAATTCTCCGTCTAAATCAAGTTGCAGACAAATAGAGAAAGGTCCAAGTCTGGCTCACTGAAAAAAACCAGCAATGCCTGCAGAGTGAAAGCCCATCCTGAGATGACCTGCTTTTTTGTTTGGGCACTTCATCCTGAACCAAATTCCTCCAGCTAGTGTGGTGGTTCACCTGCTACACTGATTTTCTTACTCTGACTCTATAAGAAACCCTTCAACACCACACTCCCACCCTATTTGCTTCCCACTGAGATGAGAAAAGACACGAGCAGACTGCACAGCTCCAGTGTGGGCTCTCAGTAAGTCAGTAAAAATATGTAGCCAAATCCTGGCCAGATTGACGTGCTTTCTCTTTCACTAGATCAGATCAACTAGGAACAAAAAAGGTCCACTGAAATCAGATCTGTTACTTGCATGGTAAGGTCACCACTCAAAATTAAAGGTCATTACTTGGCCTCCACTGAATAAAAGGGTTGGCTTGTTTGTTCAATAGGTGGCAAATGCATAACACTTCTGAAAAAGAAACACTGCTTTCTTAGGGGGTAGGACCACAGTAGAAGCCAAAAGGAGCCAAATTAGACTGTCCTCTTGGACTGACCACCTTACCACAGAAAGTCTCTCTGAACTGTGATGTCAGCTTTTCTATCACACCATAGGTCTCCACATAGAAGACATGTTCATCCAGTGGTTCACTGGCCATTATCCTCAGGGACTTCATGTCTGCCCGGTTACCCCAATTGCATAGATCTCGATGCCAGCTATCCGGGCTGTTGCTGCCACGTCTTGAACCTTGTCTTGTGGCCGTCCATCTGTCACAACAATGACTACCTTGGGGATATTGAAGGTTGCTGGCCGGGTGCCCATTTCCTCCGTGAGAACTTCATCCATAGCAGTTTGGATGGCAAGGCCAGTCATTGTGCCAGCAGACAAGGGCTCAATGTGCGATATAGCCTCTTTCATTGATGCTTTATCGAAGTAGGTCCAGAGGGGGAACTCTACTTTAACAGTGCTGGCATAATTCATGACTGCCACATGGGTTGTTCTTTCACCAATGTCCAGAGTATCAATCATTTTTGACAAGAAGATTTTCACTTTCTCAAACTCTTCAGGTCGGACACTGCGGGAGCTGTCTACAATGAAGACGAGGTCAAGGGGCCGGTTCTTGCAGGCAGCATCTGTCAAGAGGGAAGGGAAACATTTCAGTCATCTCCTACACAGGACCAGAGCTCTCCCCCTTGGGCAGTGAAAGTTGTCATGGCAAACTGCTCCTACCAGATAGATGTTGGCAACCTTCATTCTTTCCTAAAAAGCTTAAAATTATAGGGAGTAACACATTAGAAATTCTTAAGTGTTAATTTTGACAAGTAATCAATAACTGAATTTTTCTAAGCACTAACTGATAGGTCCACATTTGAGCTCACAAAATGTCTAACTATCCTTGAAACAAAGGGTTGTGTTCACATGTAACAGCCAATGCAGAAATTTAGCAATTGTATATAATGTACTTACTTTTTATTTTCATAAAGATAAAGCCTGAATTCCATTTTTATAAGTTACAGAAATAAAATGGTAAAACAACAGGCTAGATTACATCATGAACAGGTCCTAACAATACAGATTGCTGATTAGGAATTATTTCTTGTTTGTAACTCACAATCCAAATTACACAAGAAGAAGAAATAAAGGCCAACAGGAAGAAATGCAAATGGTGCTGTGATAAGGGCTTCTTTATAAGTTGTTACCGTTCCAAGGCTTCTAGAGCAGAGAAAAAAAAAATGAAATTACTTCTGAAGTAATTGTACATGTAAAAAAAAAAATAAATTACACAGCTTCCAAAATTCCTCATTGACATAGAAATCTACACAGAAACAGAAAAGCCAAAACTTTTCTTCCAATGCATTAAAAAACTTTCTTTCTCTTGTGGGAAAAGGAAGGGAAAAAAATCAAATTGCGCAGGTAGAGCTTACTTCTATCAGGAAACACAGCAGCAGAGTTGATGTTGCCTTTGGACAGAGCAACGAACTGGATGGAGCTAGGATGCCCTCCGGGTGTATTATAGACAATTCTACACGCAGGCCACAACTCAGGATTTTGTTTTTTTTTTTGCATAATGATTTAGAAGAATGGCTTTGTGCCCTCTGGGAAGCTGAGAAAACGAAGAAACGTTTGTACATGGACATGTAGCTCAAGACATGGAAGAAAAAGACTCATAACTCGTGTCCTAAAAAGAAAGCAAACACAAGGCTTGTAGGCAGAAAAAAAAATTACATTTTAGATTAAGGGGAAAAAAAAACAAAACCTTTTCAGTAGCCTGATCCTTCCGTGACTCTGAAATAAAGACGTTTCAAGAAGTGAACCCAGGTAGGGAAGAGCTGTTTGGTTTAGAGATTAGCAAGGCCAGTTTTGCACAAGAAAAATCAGTTGGCACTTGTCCCTGCAAGCGAGCGTTCCTCGGACCACTGCAGCTACAGCGAGGTGTCCCTGGGGCGCAGGCTTCCGGCAATGCTCTGAGCAGCTCAGCACGTAAGGTACAGGGAACAGAAGCAGCGCGGGCTACACCGGAGCGCTGGAGAGCGGCGAGTGCAGCAGGGACCGAGGCAGGCAGCGAGCGGAGGGATCACCGCTTGGCCGGGCCGGTACCTGCGACGGCGAGGCCACCGGCGTGGCTCCCGGGCGGGCGCGGCTGCCGGCGCAGACGGTGCGGGGAGCCCCGCTCCGCGGGCAGCAGCTGCGGCAGCAGCAGCAGTGCCAGGCAGCAGCCGAGGATGCCGAGCGCCTGCTGCATAGTGCCGCCGCCGCCACCGCCCTCCCCGCCGCCTTTAAAGCTGCCGACGGCAGTAGGGGCCACGGAATGGGATAGGACTGAGGACTGCCCCCCTCTGCCCCGCCCGTGGGTGCTGCCCTCGGTCTCCCGCCCCGCCCCGGGAGGGAAGGAAGGGCTGGGGGAATCGGAGCTCGGCTTCGGTAGCTAGCGCCAGGGCGAAGACAGACTTCAAAACTGGGAGCAGCGGGAGTTGAACCAGAACCGCGGCCTTTCTCCCAGCGCTGGAATCATTCGATCAGGATCTGCCAACTTTGCACTTCCGGTTTTAAGGCTTTAGCTCTGGGCCAGTCTTTGCAAAGAACGGGAGAAAAACCCCACAGCGTGATCACCGAGGCACAATAAACCACCTCCCCTGTTGTCAGACCTAACCTACGGCACTTTGTCTGGTCTCTGGCGCTGCAGATCTGCCAGTTCCTGTGGGAAGCTGCAGCAAACTGTAAGGGAAAGCACGATTTAGGACACGAATCCACTGCAATCTGCAGCACAGTCTTTTAGAAGACACCTTTGCTGACCCCACAGTTGACACAGGCGATCATTTTGCCCTTAACCTCTGTAAGAGGAACAGGAACCCCAAAAATGCTCTGAGGGATGAACACCTTTCTTAGGAAGACAGGCTGAGAGAGTTGGGCTTGTTCAGCCTGGAAAAGAGAAGGCTCTGGGGAGACATTAAAGGGGCCAACAAGAAAGCTGCAGAGGGGCTTTTTGCAAGGACATGTAGGGACAGGACAAAGTGGAATGACTTTAACATGACAGAGAGTAGATTAAGATTATGCTAGGAAGTTCTTCACTATGAGGTTAGTGAGACACTGGCACAAGTTGCCCAGAGAAGCCGTAACTGCCCCATCCCTGGCAGTGTTCAAGGCCAGGTTGGATGGAGCTTTGAGCAACCTCGTCTAGTGGAAGGTGTCCCTGCCCATTGTAAGGGGGCTGGAACTGAATAAGCTTTAAGGTCCCTTCCAACCCAAACTGTTCTATGATTTGGAACAGGACTCCACACACCCTCACAACCCACCAACAGTATCGCCCCAGGCAGGTATTGCCCCACTTCAGCAAGTAGTCTTGACTGCCTGATAGATGAGGCCATCATACACTCACAGACTGCAAACAGCATCAGGGGAGAGGGAACACCTTCCTTCACACAGAAAGCCACAGAACACGGTCTGGTAGAGTAAACCAGCTTTCATCTCCTGGAGGGAGCTGCAGCTCTGAGCAACAGCACATGCACACATGCACGCTCCCCACAGCAACTTCAGGCAGTGTCCGCTGCTGCCAAATACTGCTCACCCATGAGATCACCCAGCTGCATTTCAGGAAGCCTCAGTGCCCCCATCAGGCTCTGCTCATACCCAACCCACTGAAGTCCTCTGATGCCCATTCATGGTCAGTCAGCCAACAAAGGACAGACCAAGGCTTTAGCTTCATTCTATAACACACAGGGATTTCCCTGGTGCAGATGGGCTGTGGCCACAGTGTATGCTGAGATGGGCACACGAGTACAACACATGACCCCAGCAGTTCCAGCTGTGTTTCTTATACCACTTCAGTTTCACATGGTCTTTCAGCACCAACGTCCCACCCCCCCCCCACCTTCCCCAAGTTAAGGTGCTTGGCCAGCAGATTCCCTGGTTATGGAGTCCTCTTGTAAGCCCCAGTGCAGTGCCTTTGAAACCTGGACACTGAGCACCTCTGCCAACAGAGGCAGGTATACAGGGTGATCGGAAGGGCAAGTGGTGCCAGAGGAGCAGCACAAGGTCCTTGGACCACCATGGCTTAATGTGCTCTCACAGATGTAAAAGGAAAACGCATGTAAAGGAAAACTTCAGTGAAAGGAAAACTCAGGAAACTATTACTGATGGCACGGTAAGGACAGAGGGAACTTACAGACATGTCAGGGGAACAGAAAGGAGACATGGTTGAACAGGCTGGAATAACCAACAATCTTTGTGCTGTCGATATTTGAATCCTTTTTTCCCCAGAGTTTTATCCCGACTCCCTTTTTATCTTCCAGTGTAGAAAGCCATTTTTTCTTCAGATACATTAGCAGATCACCAAGTTATCTTTTAACTTCTTAACTACAGAGAAGGAAGAGTAGGAAGTTGTTCCGTTGAGTTTGTTGTTTGTTTCTTTTTTTAGAACATCCATTCAGTAACTTAGGACATTTTCCAGTGTAAACCACACTGTAGTCCCTCTGGGTGTCTGTCCTGTTCTTAATGCCTGAGCTCTTCAGACATCAAATTTGCCCTGAGAGCCTGAAGCTTCCAGTACAATTCCCTTTTCCCAGCTTATGTGTAAGTAGCAACCAGACAAGAAGACAACCGAGTACATGACCTGCAAAGGCTGCAAATTGAGCATAACACCTCAAAGGGAATCCCCATTCTCCACCCACAGGAAGACATCTGCTGAAGAAGAGACCAGCCACTAAACAACCCATAGGAAGCTCACGTACATGAAGCTGCATGTATGTGGGACCACTTGCAGCACACTGAAACCCAACAGACAAACCAAGTGAGGCTACTGGTAAATGTTTTGTAAAAGATTTATTTAAGTATCCTTTATCACAAAGAGAAAAATACATATAAGATTAGAAGCATGCAACCATCTTCACATTTCTATTTATTTTTCTTGCATTTGGAGCACATGGTAATAGATGTCCTGTGCCACCCTCACTTCTTCCTGAAAACTGCTATGTTTCAAGACATGGGATAACAAAAAAAAAAAAAAAAACACAATGAAGGCAAGATAACATATCAGGAAAGTGCAAAGTAAAAAAAAGTCGCATATATACCACATTCAAACCCTGCTCCCCTCCAGAAACTGGATAAAGGCAAACTGTCATGTTGCTGCACGACCAGATTGTCTTTATGACCTACTTTACAAAAAAAATTATATAAATTAAGGGCATGATCCTGCAGACACTTATAATTGTAGCTAACTTCAATCGCAGATTGGCTCAGTTGGTATTATTAAAAGCCACCAGTTAGTCACATGCATAAATCCTTGCAGTATAAGGCCCTAAGGCAATAAAATGTTTAACAGCATTAAGGAGAACAAAAATTAAAGCAAACAAAAATCAGATGTGTTTTGCTTTGTAAAGTTTGTATCAAACAGTTTAAACAGAACAGTTTGCTCCTAAAGCCCTGAATATTTCTATTACTTAAGCAGTTTTGCAAGATTAAAAGACAAAACCCCCAGGAAGCTGGTACAGATGTTAATCAACATAAAAATTGTTTCAGGCAGGTATGTAGGGAGGTGGAGGTTCCTTCTCAGGCATCTTCACTGCCATTTCATAGGTGGGCAGAACATACTGAGGAGAAGACATTTTGAAGAGATTAACGTAAAGTTTTAGGAAAAAAAACAAACCCCAAAAGAACAAAAGCGTTGTTGCCCCATCAGCAACTTAACCCTCTGTTGCAGGTAAATGTTTAAGAAGAACTTGCTGCTGTTTTCAGTAAGATAGTGATGAAGTGGAAGAAGGTGCAATGGTGTTTACTGCTCTGCTGAACCTAACCAAAGGTCATCCATTCCACCCCACCACCTCTTGGTTTCGCAAACCAGCAACGAAGAATTTGACTGGTGCCATCAGAAAGCTGCACTAAAAGAACATTCAAAGACTCCTCTCTATAAAGCCTCCTACTTTGTTCACTGTAAGATTGTAACTAAAAAATAACCCACTATAACATCAGCTGCTTTAGCTTTTTTTTTCCATCTTTCTAGTCTTTGTTTACAAAGCTGGACAAAGGGTTGTAAATGTACATGATACAGTGTGTTTTCTACTTCAAAATGAAACGATATAGGTTCCTTTTATCTCAAAAAAGAGGTTTTACCTGTGGAGGAACTTCAAAAGCCGGGTAGGTAGCTAACTCTGGCAAAGTTCTGTTGCTGATGTATTTATAGCAGTTCCATACACAGTTAATTAGATATGCCTAAAAGAAGAGAAATTTCTCTTTTTAAACACCTCATACAAATGAACTGATTCAGAAATTAGATGCTGGCTTACATTCATATGACATAAAGGAGCATAAATCAACTTAGTCAACACATCCCCAAAGCACAGTTGCCACTTCCCAGATGTGGCCATGCATTTAGCTTCTGCTGTAACAATGACTCAGAGCATGAGCCACAGGTTTTAGCAAAAGAATTCACGGATCCATTCAGCTAATGTATCTGCCTCAGCAGTGCTAGTTGAATTAATCCTCAACTAGCTTGTGCTTCTGTGGATATCAGTCCAAACTTGCCAGGAGGAAGACAAGGAGGAGGAGGAAGATAAACCAGCACAGTCCTACTCATCCCTGAGATAACATTGCTACTTGTCCAGCTACCAGTGAGAAAATGAGGGCACAAACACACAACTGGGAAAGGCAAGAAGATAGCAGAGCAGAGTAGCCTGGACTTTCAGTTCACATTAACTGCTGCAGAAAGACATCCTGTCATGTTGTGCAGATTATTACATTTTTATTATTATCATCTGTATAACACTAATCTCTCAATTTTTCATTGTCAGGCTAGCATGTGGTTATACATAAGGTACTGAATTTTCTAATCACTACAAAACTCTACCATATTAGGCTTCCACTCCCCCAGCAAGACATTCCTCTTGGAAAAAGTATAGAGGATTAGGAAAATTCTTTTTTATTACTTCATTTTTTCTTAAATACAATATGAATGCAATAAAGGAATATTGTCATGGCCAATGTATATTACCAACTCATTTCTCTAACCCGCTTTGTCAGCACAATAGTTTTTGTAATTCAAATGAATGCCTCTGTATTTAGATTTTCAATAAGAAAATAACTGGTAATATCACCCTTCAGTAGATAGAAAGATGCAGCTCTGAATTAACCTATGCATTTCCTCCTTCCACTGCCTTCCTTCCAAAACATTCACCCCTGGTTTGTTAGGCACAGTGAGCGACAACATCAAGCACTGGGAATTAACTCAGACTGATAACATCTTTATATAGTAACTCATGGAACAGACACATGG